GATAGGAGAAAGCCATGGGGCCAACAGTAGAGGCCTTTCTCCAGGAAAATGAGATCTGAGGAGGAGGAAAGAAGTTCGGAGGGATACAGCTGGACAGGAAATGGGGATGTCTGGGGCTTGCAGAGATGCTTCACAATGGGAAAGGAAATTGTCTCCCTTCTGGCTGCTTGATGTTTATTGGGATTTTAGTTCTCATCAGATATGGACACAGATGCACAGACACACTCTAGTATCAGGAAGTGGCAACTCTGAACAGCAGGGTGGCTTTTCAGCTCTCCCGCTGTGCCTCTGGCAGCCTCTTCCAGCCGAACTATGCTGCCTGGTCATAAACAACCACCACCACCACTTCCATGGCAATAGCTTTCTGCATCCACTCCTGAAAAGGGTGCAGCTGAAGACCCAAGCACACTCCAGCAGGCTTCTCAGTGCTCTTCCTCCCCTTTGCTCTTTCCAAGGCTTTACAATCAGTGATAACTTCAACCCTCCCAACCTGCAGGCACAGCCTCTTCCTTCCAGGAGTGACTCCAAAGGAAGAACCAACAGCTCTGAACACCCGTGTCACAGGCTGTGTACACAGAAAAGCTGTATTAACTCTCCATCTGAGCTGGGGAGAGGAAGAGGTGCAGCTGGCAGCATAACACACAGATGTGAGGGTAGAAGAAACGGGTAGCCTGGATACCTAGGCCAACCTGCCCCTGCAGGAAAAAGTGCTTTAGCTCTTCTGTCAACTACAGAGAATGCCATGGGGTTGGAAACTGCATCAAGAGCTGTGTACAAGAGATCTTAGTGTAGATGTCTCATTGGTACTTAAAGGAGGCGTACCCAGTGAAATCTTTAAACTATACTTTGATATACTACCTGATGGCTTTATGGCACCTTGTCACTGCCCAAACCAGAGCAATGAAATGTTAATCAGACACCCCAAAGTCCCCTGTAAATCAGCCTCTGTGTCAATTCCCCATTATGCATGCCTCACCATTGCTCCTGGAGGCAAGTAGGGATGGAAATATCCCAAGGGAAAGCAACCACAGCAACCAAAATTGCCATTCTGTGCACAGCAGTGGCTTGTAGCGACCCAGCCAAGTGCAGGGGGCGATCCTGTGCTCTCAACTTGGAGAGGGTAGATAAGGTCGTTGCCAGAGGTCCTGTGGCAAGCAATGAGAAATTGAAGCTTTTCCCAGAAAAGTGAAGTCACCTTTCCTCTTTCTGTAGAAGAGCAGAAGGAACAAGGAAATGTTTTCTTTCACTTTCTTTAACTACTGATTAGCACTTCCACTGCCCCTTGATGTCAAAGATACACCCTCTTCCCTTTTCTCAGGTGCCAAGACCCATCTGTGCTATTGCACAACCAGCCATACCACCTCCCTGCATCTTCCCAGCATTTCACCATGTATAAAGTTTGGGTCTAGCCTAAAAAAGCCCTCTCCCTGCCCAGGCTATTCTCTTTACCCATTATGGTACAGAGCTGTGCTATGGCTGAAACGCCCAGCCTCACTCCCTGCAGGTCCAGCCTGCACCCTTTGCCTGAGTTGCTGTGTAGTCCTCTGTGCCCTTGAGCCCAGCTGTGTAGCAGTGGGGAGGCATCGCTCCTCCTCCACGCTTGATTGCGTTGCTCTCCGTGACGGGTGGCGTGGTTGGGCTGGAGCAGGGGAAGTGGCCATCTGCCAAGAGTAAGGTCAGTACAGCCCGGGAAACAAAAGAGAGCTTGGCAGAAACAGCCTGCTGTTACCTCTGGGTTAGCACAGGTAGATGCTACCTCAGGTGCCGCCCTGACAGCATTATACACAGCGTATCACCACGTTCAATTTTGTCTGCACCTTTCTGCTCTGCCAAGTGACAGCCCCATTCTGCTTTCTCAACTGACCTCCAAAGCAGAATATCCAAGACAATAAAAATGCAATGTCTGCCTGGAAACCACCCAGGCAAGCGGCCAGATCTGTAGCCCAGCTCTTCACCTCAAGGCTCACAGCCAAAATCCTGCCCTCAGACACAATTCCTCCTGAAGCCAGCCAGAGCAGGCAGAGCAGCATCTGCTCGCCGGATATGGCCACCAGTTATAGTGCAACCTGGGCGCATACTCTGCACTTCACTGGTGTAAAGCAGCTGAGCTCCATAACTGAGAATCACCTTCACCCTGAGGGTGGAAAAGTGCCTGTTCCTACAGGATAAGTGTTCAGCAGAAAGTTCAGGCTAAGACAGACAAGTAGAAAGATTTAAACTGATTCAAAGGAGAGCAACTCAGCAGCAAGCAGAGGTGACTATCAAGGCAGTGGGGACTCCTGGGCTGCCTGTATAAACCAAGCTTTGCAATAACCCAAAGCATGAGCAATCCACAACTTGCACAGGTTAGATCTCCTCACATGACAGTGTTAGAAGGGAGCTTGGACATCGGAGCACTAAACTTTCTACATGTTGAAACAGTAGTTATGCTAAATAAGACCAGAAGTATAACAACAAAATGTTTTCCAGCCACAGGAATTAGAGCTTGAGGACAAAACCGTATGTTTAAGTAGCTCACACCATAAACCTGTTCTTGTCCTCTATTTCCTTGTCTAGGTCAGAAAAAGCCTCTGCATATGCATATGGCCTTGAACTGACAAGCTCTTAAGAATAAATGCTTACTGAAAGCTTTTTCTGAAACAGGTATTTTTAACATAGCCCTCTCGGTACAGGAGCTGGGTTACGATACCCAAGTGCTGCTTCTTTCCAGGTCTTACCACCTTAGTCCAGCACTGTCCTCTCCTGTCTCAAAGTCTTCCCTTCCCAAGGTGCACAGGAAGCGTCACTTTGCCAGACTGAGGCATGCCTGGAATTGGTAACAACAGTCTGTGAGACCTCTCCAGCAGTGCTCGCTGCGCTAACCTTCCCTCATCTTCCCACTAACACATACATTTACACATTTATGGGTATATTTATGAGAAAGAGCAGTTTATTATTCACGTCCAGCCTCACACCGAGCTTTTCTGCTAAGCTGAAGACGCTGGAGAGGGTCCTGTCTGAGACAACCCCCATCTCCCTAGGAAAAGGCTGGGAAACATGTTTTCACAAGCAGCTCACAGGATACAGCCATCTCCAAGTAAAATGACCCTGGACCATCCAGACGTGCAGTTTCAGGGTCAAAGCCTGAGCCACAGTTCCCATAAGCCATCCCACTGCTTCTGCAACACAAGACTCAACCAGAAAGTGATTCTGCAGAGCTGAGACCGTTCATTTCAGAAAGCTGCTCATGTCCAGTCTCTCCTGATTACTGCAGCTCCTTCAGCAACACTTCATTTCTCTCTCTCAGTTTTGACTCCCCAGACTACAGCATGGTGGTTACTCTGCTTTAGTCCAAAGTTACAGCAGTGTTGCTTGCCAACACCTACAAGAATGTATGGTTGGTGCAGCCATTATTCAGGCTTTCTTCAGAAAAGCAGCTTGCTTCAAACATGGTTTTCAAAATCGTTAACACGGGCTGTCTTCGAAAAGGCAATTTGTCCTCATCACAAGGAAAGGAAACATACCATGAACCAATTAGCCCTGATGAGTTTTGCTGCCTCATGCTTTCACATCAATCTGAGCGGGGACACATGGGATGTGCACGTACTGGTGGCATTGCACCAATTTACACCAGCTGAGGCACTCGCATCTGGCTGCAAGAGGAAAACAGCAAGTAGAGATACCTTGGTCACTTAAGAGTCTCATGCAACTGCCCTAAAACCAGAGTTTTAACAGCCCCTGGCAGCATCTGCTTGCCCCGATACCCCAAACTCACACTGCTCACAATCCACCATATAAGGGCACTGGGGGGTGCTCATCCAGCTACCTGGTGGCTAGATAGGACCCTGGCAAAACAACTGGTGGGACTACAGTGCACTCCGCATTTGAGCGCAACAAAAAGAACATATTTCTTCCATTACTGGACACTCCCCCCATCATCTTTAAATGAGCACACTCGGTTCTGCAATCTAAAAGCAGAAACACAGCCATGCCCAGGGCCAGTGCGATTTTGGGGAAGCTCTGCACCGCGCTAACCATTTAAGGTCAAACAACTCATTAGCCAACCCAAACACTCAGAAGAGGGCTCAGCACACAGCTAAGCCTGGTTAAATGCCGTAATAGATGCCTTAATAAGCACGCAAGCATTTCTGGAGATAGCCTGGCTGCACTAACACTGCTGGCTTTGCCTTAGAAGCTGGGTTATGCTGTTGTCTCCGCATTCAGGCACCGACCATGTGCTCCTTAGACTGGCAGCTCCTGCACAGGGTGTATTCCCAGCCTGCTTCCCTCTGCCACCCCTATCACCCACGTATCTTTTTTCCACACAGTGGAATCGTGATTAAAAAAAGCCGACACCCTTCCTAGGTCTGGCCACCCTCAGACCCCGAGGACTCGAGCGCTAGTGGCTGGAGACAAGTACACGGCCGCGCACACTGCGGGCTGGCTGCTCGGAAGGCACCAAGCGCCCGTGCCGGCTTTCACCGGCTCCCAAGAGCCGCGGTTTAGCAGCGCTTTCCCGTCTAAGCCAGCAGCGGCAGCCGCGGCCACGCTGGAGCAACAGGGCTCCGCACCGCCCCTCAGCGCACCGCGCTCTACCGCTGCCGCGCGCACCGCCGCCCCCTTATATAGCGCCCTAAAAATAGCTCTCCGCGCACCGCCTCGCGGGCCGCGGGGAGGAGGCGGGAGCCGCGCTGCCGGCCAATCAGCGCAGCCACCGGCGAGCCCAGGCACCGCCCCAGCTCCCTGAGCGGGGACGCCATTGGTCGAGAGCGACTTCAGGAGCGCCGCTGGCCCGCCCTTCCCGCCCCGCCGTTTACCCTACATGGTCACGCGCTGCCTGAGTGGGCCGCGCGGCTGCGCGACGCGAGGGGGGGGGGTGGGGGAGGGCGGTGCGGCCGTGAGGCGGCCGTGAAGCAGCGGCGGCGGCAGCGGCGGGGGGCCGGGCCGGGTTTACCGAGGGAGGGTGAGAGGAGAACGGGGAGGGGGGAAAGTGATCTCCCGAAAATAAAGAGGGGAGGGGGCAGGGAGGGCGGTCGCCATCGCGCATGGCCGCGGTGCGCGGTGGCGGGGAAGTGCCCCGGTGCGGCGGCCGCGGGGTGCTCGGTGCGCGCCGGCGCCGCTCGTCCTCCTCGGCCCGGCCCCCGGCCGTCGCCGTCCCTCCGCGCTGATTCTCTCCTCTCTCTCTTTTTTAAAAGTGTGACTGAAACAAAACAAAGCCAAAGGGACGCTGGATCTATCATTGGTTGATTTTCCTTCTCCTTTTTTTTTTTTTTTTATGATCAAAAACAATCCCCCTAGCCCAGCAAACAAACACACACAAAAGCAGAAAGAGAGGGTCTTGCTCAAGCAGCAGCATGGATGTCTTGGCTAGTTATAGTATATTCCAGGAACTCCAGCTTGTCCACGACACCGGCTACTTCTCAGCTTTGCCATCCTTGGAGGAAAACTGGCAGCAGGTGAATCATTTAAATTACTCCTGTAAATCTCTTAAGCGCAGACAGTCGATGCATTGGGGCTGCGTTTATGACTTTATTTTTGTTCTTTGATTCAGGGTTGGGTTGGTTTTTTTGGTGGTTCTTTTTGTGTTTTTTTTCTGCGTGGGTAGACCTTTAATTCTCTGTATTTTTTTTGCCATGACAAACTGAGCAGTCCATTCGTATCTGCCTGCCTTCAGTTCGTTCCGAGCACACCCGGCAGCACCTGAGATCCGGTGGCATTCTTTAAAAGGCTTTTGTTTTTAGGGTGTTTTATTTTTGAGCTTAGAGCTTTTTGTTGTTGTTTTTGTTCTTTTAAACAAGGCTGTTCACTTCCAGCCAGTGCTGACATCTGGCAGCTGGTGGAAAAGAAATAGATCATTCTTATTTTCAGGTAATTAGTATATGTCAATAAAAATCGTAGCTTGAATCGGAGATGGCGGGTGGGCAGGTGTGTGAAAGCACTAGCAAAAGCTTTTAGCCTAAATTGTGTAACTAGGGAGGTGACTTATTTTTCATTCTTTTTTATTATCTCTTGGTTTAGAAGGTGCAGAGAAGCACACACTTCTTCCTGTATCTTAAAACAATGACGCCTTAGGCTGGTTCCAGTAAAGCAGTGTGTTTTGAGGCACTGTAGGGTTCATATGCAGACAGATTTAGGATAAAGATGGAAATCAAGTATTATACATGCATTAAAATAATGATTGGTGGTGTGAATAAATAAGAGCAAGGAGAAGAGTAGGTTACAAGGAAAAGAGTTGTATAAAATGAACTGTGAGCCCAAATGCATAGATCTATGAATAGTTACCAGCTAGGATTCTGAGGGAAAAGGAAAGGCAGGATTCCTTATTATGGCAAGATGTTGTGAATCCTGTTTCTTGCTGTGATTTTCTGGTAGAGGTGATATACCAGGTGAAATCCTGGAAACTAGTGTCTCTTTAAAAGAAAAAAAAATATCCTGGGGTGAGTAGGAATAGTGGAGTGTGGTTGGGATGACATGTGGTCCTAATGCAGCGCACGGACCCATGACACTGTGGGTGTAAGAATAACGAGCCACTGGGTTTCATCTTACCAGCATTCACCTTAGTCTTGGCTAGTGTGAGGGTAGCGTGTGTTGGGCTCCAGTAAGTGATAGCTTGGGATGTTCATTTAATTTTTCCTCAGAAGTGTGTAGGGAAATGTGGACAGTAGGGCTGCTGGGGTACACTGGGCTGTAGCATTGTCATCCAGCTGGAGTGGGGCTGGATCTCTAAAGGTTTACCCTATTAAAATTGTTTTGGCTTCAGCTTTGTGTGTGTATATATGCAAACACACCAGAGGGTTCTTGACAGCTACAGTGTGAACACTTTCCGGATTTAATTTGCAAAATGACTGATCCAACTTTGCTTTATCCTCCGAGGGGGAGGGGATGCTTTTTGTTATTAATACTCAGCTTGCACATCCACGATGGTCACATCTGTTTTCCTTTTATATTTGTAGCATGATAATTAAAGATAAAATGTTAATATAATTTCATTTAAAAAATAATTTCATAGCATTGTTATTGTTGGATTGGTTGCAGATTCAGTTGCATATTAGTAACAGTCCAGACAGTCCAAAGCGAGATAATCTGTTGACATAGCCAGCATGCTTTAGGCAGTACTGTGTGTGATACTCCGTCTCCTGCTGCCTTCTTTTATGTGTGGAAGAGCAGCAGTTTGTTTTATACAATAAAATATACCTACCCAAGCCCACTGTTACTATTGTGAAATTTAAACTCACACTTTCCTGCTTAAACCCCGCTGATTCTTCACATATGTTTGAAAAGAGAAGTTGAAAATAATTTATTACATTTTCCTTCATTTCCCCTCAAATCCTGCAACCAGTGCCTGATGTTTCATAATGCATCCTGTATTTACAGTTTGTTTTTATTCCCCTGTTGTTGCCTGGACTCTCCTTGCAACAAGGGGTAGCAAAACCGATGTATTGGTGGTGGGAGCAACTGAAGCTGGCTGTACAGAGCATGCTGTCATGCACACTTGGCAGACCCACTGACACAGAGACCCCAATTTCATTCTTCTGAATCACTTGCAAATGTAGCCATGTCTTGGGGATTTATTTATTTTAGGCAAACTGTAGCAACTTTGGGAGAAGGGATATATGTGCATGTGTGTGTATTTCTAAAGGCATCCGTTTAAACTGTCAGGCTGCAATTAAGACCCCAGGGAAAAAAGATGACAGGGCAGTGACTGATCCCTGCGGGAAGCATCAGAATTGGGAAGTGGCAGCTTTAATATTAAGTGAAAACACTTGAATGGGTCTTCTGCTCCCAATCTCCACAGAGGCTCCAGAGCAGTGCTTCTCCGAGCAGCAAAGCAGCACCCTGGAAGATTACTTCAGTCTCTTAAAAAGGGGGAAGGATTTGTGTGGGTCAAGAGCAGGCTTCCTTGTCACATTGTAAGCTCCAGTTTCTTTGTGATTAGCAGCTCCTAGTGCTTGATGTGGAGAGGTTAGTCTATGCCAGTTCCTGCTTGTCGAAATGACATCTACTGTGACACCGTAAAAGATGCACTTGCCCCACTGAAAATCAGAGTGTGCCTTGGGGTGAAAGTGATTGTAGTCTTGTCTACCTTTTCTCCTGAGTCTGGACCACACTTTTGTAGCTGCTGGCTGAGCACTACACAGCTGAGGCAGTTGCTCATATTTCTGATTGTGAAACACCCATTGCTCACGGAGGGCACTGACAGCACAGGCAGGTTGCTAAATGCTTGCATGCAGTCAGCTGATCTCTGCCTTGTTTCCTTCCCACTGCAAGAGAAATGTGAGCAAGTTTGGTATCTCTACTTTTGACAATTATCATTGCAGTTGAATGAGAGCCACCCAGCAATATGAACAAAACAAACAGACTTTGTGTAGGAAGAGATTGTCATCTCTTGTGTAGGTTTCTTTTTTAGGAGGAAAAAACACAAACAAAACCCCCCTCACTGCACCCTGGACATAGTTTACATTGTGAAAGTGAAAATACTTGAAGTGAAAGCTGAAATTAAATCCATGGTGTATTTCACTTTATTTTAAAACCCATGTTGGGAAGGTAGGGCTTGGTTTTTAGGCAGCAAAAGCTGAACTTCACTATGTCAGCCTTAGGTGTACTCCATCGTGCAAATTTTATCTTGGAGTGGGAAGGTCAGGATCTAAAGAGTAATTCATAGCACAGCTTCATCAGGAGACAGAGAACTTTGTGTAGTCTTTGCTTAGCTTTTCCAGCAGTGTTGAGCTGCCACAGCACCGAGGGAGATTAAAGGAAGAGGTGGGCTCTGTGCATTGGAAAATGAGGCATTCGGTGTACGTCAGCAGGTTGGTATCTCAGGGTCTGTGTGTTTCTGCCTGGTGCTTCATGCTGGCTCTGATTGAACAGTCCTTGTTGCTCTCTATCCCTTTGAGCTGACTGCAGATTAGGACCAGGGCAGGGGGAGATTTCAGCACCTGCATGTCTGCTGTGGTGCAGCGGGAGGATCTCTTACCACATATGCTGTTGCTCGGGGTTAGCTGTCTGATGTGGCATCCCCGAGATTGGAACCAGACTGCTGGGAGAGACAGCACGAGGCTGAAGAGCGCCTTGCTACTCTGCAGAGGAAGGAAGTGGGTAGGAGGCTGTTTTTGAGGGAGGCGACTATGAGGAGAGTAGCCTGTGCAGCTGCACGTGGTCCCACTCTCAGTGTGCCAGGCTGTAAAGAACAGGGAGCAGGTCTGACAGTTGGGAAGGGGTGGACATGGGGCTTCATTCTGTTCTTCTTGCTTGGGTTTCACAACGTTCTTTTGGGGGGTAATTGAAAGATCAGTGTGCAGAAGGCATCTTCTGTAGTCGGCTATGTCTCTTCCTTTCAAACCATCCCTATTACTTCTTCATAGGCCTCTTGGAGGGCTGTGAAGGTTGTCCTTTTGTGGAGAAAAGGTCTTATCAGGAGACATTTTGAGCCTCTCTTCATATTCTGTGGGGCAATAGGGCAGCCTCTAGCATGGCAATTCCCACAGTGTGAGAGCACAGGAGCACAAAAGAGCAGGTAGATGCACAGGGTCACCATGTGTGTAGCTGACGCAGGTACATAAAATCAGCAGGGCTTAGGTGCCAAACCCTGGCTGCTTCTCAAGGGGCCAGCCTTTCCCATGTGTGTCATTGGGCAGAACCGGTCACATTGGCTGGCAGAAGTGGAAATGGCATTATATTGTTTGCCTGATAACCATTGCCCAGTAACATTTCCTCTTGCCTTGGCTGACCCAGCTGCTCTCAGCTGCAGTAAACAATTACCCTTCCAAGGAAGATGCACATTTCCTGTAAAGCATAGGATCAAGGAAGCCTTTGTTTCACTCTTGACTCTGATGTAGAGCTTTCTTTACATATACTTAATCAATACTTCAAGCCTCAGTTTCCCTCTTTCTGAAGTGACCAAAAAACGATTGTTCAACAAAAACGATGCTCAGGCATGGTCTTTGCAGGGCTTTTGACCCATTCTGGCAAATGGCTTTGAGATCCCTGTGCTGTGTGAGAGCAGAGTATCCTGAGGTGACTAATCTAGCAGAGCTCTTACATCTTAATGCTTCTTGTTGGCAGACAGGGTCATTTTCAGGCCTATAGGAAAAATTTCCACTGCTACTGGAAGGGAATAAATCACACTGGAGGACATTCCTGCCTTCCCATCGTCCCCATTGTTCTAGTTTAATGGCATAGTTGGCCACTACATAAACTAAACCATCTCTTTTAATCTTGCTATTTCATCTTGGTTCCAGTCACAGTGTAACACATTTCTTAAGTGCATACAGTACATCACACCTCTTGAGAATAACTTGCAGAAATGGTTGACTTCCAAGAACAGCCACATGTGTAGTGCAGTGTATTTCAGACTCCCAGCGCATGTCCATTTATACCTGCAGGATCTCTGCTTGCTCCCTGTGCTGAAAACATGCTCCTGTCACTGTACAAAATGAGATGGAGAAAGGATGGAAAA